CTTCCAAAACTTTTTTTTTTTGGTACCGGGGATCGAACTGGGGTCCTTGTGTTTGCGAGGCAGGCGGGGGAATAACTGAGCTAAATCCCCGGCCCCCAACATTGGTGTTTTTTTTTTACTTTTCTAGGTCCTTTGTACTCCTACATAACTTTTTTTTTTTTTGAGGTTTTTGTTATCACTTATTTGTGAAGTTAAAAACGAGCGATAAAAAGTAAAAACTGCCATACAAGTTTTGTTTTTGTTCTCATTGTTTTCAGTTTCAATCTCGTCTTGCACAGACGAAAAGACAAAAGATCAGACCAGTCCTGGGAAGGGGCGGGTGGGCGCGGGGCTGAGCTAGGGAGAAGAGCAGAGGAGAGAGGCGGGGAGGGTCCTGTGACACGGACACCTGGTCCAAGGAATGTTCCAACTCTAACCAGAAGAAGAGAAAAAAAGGAAAGAAAAAGAAAAAAATACCCCCCAAAATAGCAAGAGTGACTTTTTTTTTTTCCTTTTTAAAGTTTATTTTAAAAACAAGAAGAGGGCTATGGGCAGTAGGGAAAAATGGATTGTTTTGCCCACAGGGGCAGTGTCAGGAAGGCTGGGCTGGGGGATAGAGATTTATATATATATATCATTTTATATATATATATATAATTTTATAGCTTTTGTTCTGCTCTTTGTGTTCTCTAAGTTTTAGGGAGTTTTTGGGAGAGATTTAATTCTCGCTCTCTTCTAAGGCTGGCTCAACATGAAGTTCCCGAATGTGAAAGGAAAGGATGGGAGACACACAGGCGGTGAGAGAGCAAGGGCCCGGCCCGTCAGTGGCCATCCCTCTCTCACCAAACTGAAGAAATAGTAAACAAAGGAAAGAGCCCCCAACAGAACAAATGGGAAAAAAAATAAAGAATTTTCACAGATGAAGAAGTTCACATTCATTCGATTCATTGAGCCTACGGAGAGGGAAGAGATAGGAATTGGTCACTAACTCCTACATAACTTTTAAATTTCAATATCCACTTCTTCATTTATAGCAAGTATACACACACCTGAAGTTTTATATATACCTTGTGTTTTCTAATCCTGCTAAATTCAAATACAAGTTCTAGGGACTCCTAGAGATTTCTTAGTATTTTCTCTGTAGATGATCATTTCATCTACATATAAAGATTTTGCTTCTACCTT